AAAAAAAAAAAAAAAAGAAATCACCACTCGTGTTAAAAAAGAAAAATTAAACTAGTACGTCACCCGCGCGTTGCGCGGCCTGATGTTAAAAAAATGATGTTATTAAATTATAATTTAAATAAACAAAATATAATCATACAACATTTGTAGAGATCATAAAACGTATGTTCAAAATTTTATTCATTATATTTTTAAAATATTTATCTAAATATAACATTATTAGTGAATGGAATGTACTCATTATTACCATTATCATCATAAATAATCATCCTCTGTCACCATGTATCCGTGACTACGGAAAAAGATAACATATATTGGGATCCGTGACTACAGAAAAAAGTACTAACATATAAGTGATTCTCACAACATTTGTGTAATTCAATGAAACTTAGAATTTGTCGGATTAATGACTCTTTTGAAACTTTTTTCCAAAAAATGTCTTGATGATAACATAATCTTCTTTATTTGTGCATAACTAAAGTTATTGTTGTTATATAGATAAACTGATATAGAATAACTTAAATAAACTTGTACAAATATGTGTCAGTTAAAATAATAAAAAAAAGTAAATATTTCAGGAAAAAAAATTAAAAAATGACTCAATTTTGAATCGCATGCATTTAGTTTCAAATTAGGTGCACATACCTCACTTTTTTTTTAAATTGAGATAATAAATTTTAATTTCATTTATTTGCAAAATAAGTTCGATGGTGATCAGAATTACATGCAAGATGAATCACCTATTGCAAAGTTATAAATATGAACAATAATCGCAAATGTTCATGTGAATAACAAATTACTTATTTTTTGCACGAAATTCAAACAGAATGTAAAATTTATTTTGATAAAAAAATAGTTTTTGTGATATATGATAAGAAAAAGTAGTTGATGCATTATAGTAGTTTGCAAAGATCCAGTAGTGATAATATATTCATATCATCATATATCTTAAGAGAAAAAAAAATGTGTATAATAATAAAAAAATCACAATAGTTACACATTATGTTATTTTTATTCACAAAAAAATTCAGCTGCATAATTGTGGGTCAGTAAAGAGATTAAAATGTAGGCAATTACTTTAATCACAAACTTTTATATGAACTCAAATTTAAGTCTAAATGAAACAAATTATGTCAACTAAAAATAAAATTTTTAAACAAACTATGTATTTTAAACTCAAACTATTCAATCATTTAGGACCAGAACCACTATAATAGGTGTCATCGGTTTTGCTATGAAGCCAACAGTTGGCTCCTTAGTGGAACCAACCTTCTATATACAACAAATAAACCTACCATATTAATAAAATTATATTAGTGTTATTTAAGTAATCAGCGAATATAGTAGGTTTATTTGTTGTATATAGAAAATTGGCTCCATTATAGAGCCAATTGTTGGCTTCATAGTAAAACCGTAGGTGTCATATATAACAAACATTTCATTAAATAATTGAATGATAAATATATATTGTCATGTTCAGTCTTTATAGTCCAAATCATATTGTCACTCTTTTTCTCATTTATTATATAGTTGAGAAATCCTCACTCTTTCTGTTATCATTTTTTTTCTTTCACAATATCATCCAAAAATATTAGTTTATTTCTTGCCCGTAAATGAAACCAAATTATGAAGTCATGTTCAAACATTAAATCACCTAATTTTACTTTGTATAAAAAATGTGACAATAAATATCCATCTGAAAATAGAAAAATAAAAGTATCAATATCGATATATCAAATTGGTTTTTTAGTATACTTTCAAATATTTGTTTTTTTCTCTATATTTTTAGATCATATTAATAATGAAGATGATCACCATCAATGTTTAGATCAAT